GAAGGGAAAGTGAGCGATTGCTGCGAAGTCGCCGCCGTGCTTTATTTAAACACGACAGATGCAGCCAGCAAGCAAGCAGAGGAGGATCGAGATCGAGTTCGGTTGATGGCGAGAAGGTGGGTGTGTAGTGTAGTTAGTGTAGTTCTGGGGGGGGGGTGGAGGTGGGTGTAAAGGTCGCAGCTGCCTTGGAGCGGAGATGTGGGGTCCGGGCGTGAGCTAGGTATGGCGCGCCTACCAGACCGCAGCTTCAAGCTTCACGCTTCACGGACTGACCCTTGGGTGCGCCCACGGTCTACGAGGTCCGCGTTCTGCCGGCAACTCTGCGGGCGGCCACAAGGCAGTAGAGCAGGGTCGTCAGCTGGCGAGGGGCGGGAAGCGATGTGGACTTTAGGTGAGGTGGATGACGCTGCTTACAGTATCATGTATGTACTATGTAGCTGTACTGTAGGTTCCTAGGCACTTTGTTGGCAATGCATCTCATCTGGGGCTGGTGGGCATGCCATTGATGACCATCCGTAGACTCACGTGATGGCCACGGGTGCACGATAACGTTTCACCCGCAGCCGATAACAGAGAGGCGCTGGGGCGCTAGTCTCGATGGGGCAGAAGAGCAGGCAGAAGCAATGTGACGCAAGCGCTTCGATGTCCAGGTGATAGGGTAACATGTGCTCCAAAGCCCCTTACCGCGTCTGTGATAGACCCAGTCAGCCAGTGCGTAGGTATTGTGTCTGTACTGTATTAGGAGTAGGTAGCAGAGTGTGTCCTGTGTGTGTGGGTGTGGTAGCGTCTTGGACTGCCAGGCACCCACGTAATGCAGGACACGTTGAATGGATGGCTGGCAGTACGAACGAGTCTATCAACCTTGAATCGCAGTGTCGATTCCAACTTGGCCATCTATTGACCAGTACAAACGACACGTTTCAACATACTCTGCAAAGTAGAAGTATTCCTCTAGTCTCGGGTTACATACCAGCATTGGTACCTGGTACGGTAGTATTACTTCATACAAGCCCAAGTAGCCCTCCTCACTTGCCCAAGTTACCTTGCCCAGCCGTCACACCAAAGATTCGAGAAAATCCGTCATCAGCCAAGGAGAGAGCTGGTCTGACTAAACCACCTTGCATTGCCCTCAACTCAGTAGCTGCTATTGTGTACAGTGAGCATGTGTCGCTAAACGAACACGATTCACGAACTGCTGCGGCACCGTCAAGAGCTAGTTCAGATCAATTGAGGTACCTACCCCATGCACTATGCCGCTAGCTGGATGATGACTAACCTATCGACTTGCTCCACTGGCCGTGCTGACGCTCCCGCTAGTGAAAATCAAGACCCAGAAAAAATGTTCAGAGAGGCTGCTGGATGGGTGCCTTTGGATCCCACAGCCACATACAGAATCCAAACATAGAGCACCATGTCGTCCGAAGAAGTCGAGATTGCCAAGAGCAAAAAGGAGCGCAAGGAGAAGAAGAAGAAGAAGGAAAAGAGAGACGCAAAAGCACAAGTCAAGCCCGAGTCTGCAGAACCAGAGGAGCCCTCCGAGACACCGGCGAAGAAGCGCAAGCGAGAAGCTCTCCCAGACGAGATTGAAATCGACATCGCAGCACCCGAGCCGGCCTCGAAGAAGGCTGCCCGCAAAGCGAAGAAGGCGAAGCTCAATCCCACCGCGACGGTCGGCCCAGACGGGAACACAACAGAAGGAAAAGCGGAGGTCAAGGACGACAAGGATGCAGCAGCGAAGCGCTCGGAATTTGGTGTATGGATTGGCAATCTTCCATGGTCTGCCACCAAGGACTCGCTGCGCACTTTCCTGGTTGACAACGCCGAGATGAAGAGCGAACAAATCACTCGAGTGCATCTACCAGCACCCACCAAGCCGCCGAACCCAAGCTGGACGACCAAGCCGTTGAACAGAGGGTTTGCCTATGTCGACTTTAGCAGCGAGCTGGCCATGTACTCGGCTATTGCCTTGACCGAGACGAAAATGGACGGCCGAGCGCTGCTCATCAAAAACGCCAAAAGCTTCGAAGGGCGGCCAGACAAGCCCAAAAACGAGGATACACAAGACACTGGTCGGGGTGCCAAAGGCGCAGTCAAAGGAGCACATCCACCCAACAAGCGCGTCTTCGTTGGCAACCTCTCGTTCGATGTCACTAAGGAGGATCTCGAAGCACACTACAGTCAGTGCGGCACAGTCGAACACATCCACATGGCTACATTTGAAGACTCTGGTAAATGCAAGGGCTATGCATGGGTCACATTTGGCGACGTCGACGCCGCAACATGCGCCGTCAAGGGCTTCATATGGAAAACAGAGTCTGAACTCAAGGCCAAGAAGAAAGGTGACGCCGATGCCGACGATCAAAGCGATGACGAGGAAGCCGACGCCAAAAAAGCAGGCAAGAAGCGCAAGTGGCTGCTCAACAAACTCTTCGGCCGGGATCTCCGCTGCGAATTCGCAGAAGACTCAACCACACGTTACAACAAGCGGTACGGCAAGGACAAGCCTGCAGAACCCATCGAAGGCGTAAACCCAGATCGGTGGAAGAACTTCAATAACAACAAGGACGGTGGTCCGAGACCCCAAAAGGAACAAAGCAAGGACCCGCGCGATTTAAAAAAACGTGGCAAAGTCGATCCTCGCACGATTAAGAGCGGGGCTGCTCATACCAGTGCGCCGCGCGCAAGCCAGGCTATTGTCGAGTCGCAGGGAAAGAAGACAACTTTTGATTAATATTGAAGAACGAAGACTTTGGGTTAATATTGGTCTTATATGTATGCACAACTCAAGCCAAACCAACTCAAACTCGTCTACACATAATATACTTGATCACATCTACCGCCAACGCAAATCACCTCATCACCCGCTCTGCACTTCCCAACACGAACACTCACACCATCTCCTCGTCCAATCCAGCCCTACTGTGTGAAAATAGGTACCGCAGCAGCCTTTACCTGTCTAGCCTAGTGGGTGATATTGTGTATCATGCATCGACTTCGAACGATACACACATAAACTAAGACGCCAATCTTCCATGCTCCAATCTGTCTCGGATGGCTAGTCATATACATACTACCAGGCCCCAATACCGCCACTTCGAACCGAGCTTCCCCCTTTCCTTACTCCAGAGTCTGGGGTCTGGGCGTGCACGTCATAGATGTTGTTGTTTTGGGGGCTGCGTTTGGGTGTAGGGAGCGCGTGGGGTTGTATATGTACATGCATACGACTTTTGTGGAGTGGTTGAGTGGTTGACGTTGGTGTGGGGGTAAAATGATTTGTGATATTGGGGGGATGGATGACGTTTAATTGGTACACGGGGTTGTAGATGCAGAATGACTAGGCAATTCATCATGTTACTTGCATGATTTTTTGAGTTTTGGATACTACATTACCATTGTCAGGATTTCTATCCAGGGTTGAAACTTTACAGCGCGCGGTGTATATCAATGTCTATAATGCGGCGAAAACGTCGCGTGATGATGCAAAGACACGTCCACCACCCATATGCACAAACCCCTCCTACCTCGCCTTCATTACAAATAGCCATCGTTCTCCATCCCACTTTTTTTTTACCCATGCAAATTCCCTTCTGCACGCTGCGTCGCAGACCTCACAACACCTTCGCTCTCATCATTGCGACCTGACAAACCCTTCATGCCCGCCGGCGTGCCCCCAAAACTAACCAGCACACTCGGATTATCCGCCGTCAGATTATCCAGCACACTGAGCTCCTGCGGGGAGAACCAGCGAGGCATGAGGCTGGTCCTCAGCGGGATGAGGGCGATGATGAGGACGGGGAAGCCAATGGCGGCAATGGTTTGCGAGATAGCGACTGTGCACGCGACGCCCAAGATCTGGAGACCAATGTAGAAGACGATTTTCCTACGTGCAATGGTGGACAGCGGGTTCGAGGGCTGGATGAAGCGGCGTTCGGAGAGCAGGTAGATGGCCTTGGAGACGATGCCGTTGGACTCGATGGAGCCCCAGCCGACGACGAAGAAGACGCCTGCGAAGACGGCGGCGGGCATGGTGTGTAGGACGGTCAATAGGGGACCGCTCATGGTGCCCCAGATGGCCATGCCCATGAGGAAATGACTGACGCGTTGTTCGACCACGGCGGTGGCTACTACTACCGGTTTGCGGATTTCATCGCCGTCGACCGTCTCTGTGACCGATAAGCGAGTCTCGTAGATGGTGAGGGAATCCGTGTGGACGGGGGCTTGGGGCACGAGGCCGTTGGGGAGGGGGAGGCCAATAATGCCCGAGACGAAGCATGTGCAGCCTAGGAGGAAGAAGTCCCAGTGGAAGCCGGCGGGTTTCTGGAGGGGGTATTGGCGTGCTTGTGCGGCTAATGAGGATACATTCTGGTGTGGGAATTAGCAAGCGTGTTGAGTTGCTGGAATGGGCCGCTGTGGATTTAATGAAGCCAAGTGAAAAACAAACGTACATGATCGTAGTAAAACAGTAGCATCATGAGAAACCCAAACGGCAGTGCGACGAAGACCCATTTCACATCTAGGTTCCAGAATGCAATCACCCAGTCCCTCTGCTGTGTAGGCTGGAAGCTTCCGACAATAGGTACGCGATATAGCTCCGTATCTGCCAATCTGCCTGGGAAGTGCGAGAAGCCAACCCAGAACAGAGTGGGGAAAACGTAGGCATAGTCGGCAAGAAAATTGCGGATACCAGGTGTTCCAATCGTGCTGCCACCGAGCTTCTCCAGGCCGTAAACAGAGCCGAAATAGAGTATTGCAATGACAATGGACAGGTATCCGCCATCAAAACCAGATGTCTCGAATAGATAGACTAACTCTTCAACGCCTTTGACTATTCAAATGTGTTAGAGAGTAGAAGCCAACGCCAAGATCGATTGCAGGTTGACATACTACAATAGATGATTCCGACATACATGCCAAATGTCTCACTTGAGAAGTCGGTGATATAGGCCATGTAGTCGCACAAATTGCCAAAAGACACTGTCCAATGGAAGATCGCGGCCCATATTCCGACCCATGCTGTGAATGCTGGATAGATTGTGGGATCGTACTGTTCGATGATGTCGTAAATGGTGTAGTTGAACAAGCTACTGTAATTAGAGAACGTCGCTTAAGGGGTAGGACGATCTTACGCGATGAGACCCGTTACGCCAACGATGGTGAGTGGTTGGCAAGACAACAAGCTGAATACCATAGCGGCCAGCGCAGAAGCAAAGAGCGCTTCATTAACACCGAAAAAGCCGCCGGTGCGACGATACATGTCCAATGTGAACGCAAGAGCGGGAAGAACACTAGTGTGCATCAGAACTCTGGCACTTTGCAGTATTGACAGCAACCAAATCGGGTTCGCATCCATCCACGTGAGATCGAGGGTGTGACGAATCAGTCGCCTAGGCCACCGAAACCTCAAACCATTCCCTATCCTCCTTCTAGAGGAACTGCGAACCTGGTTTGGACTGTCTCTGGAGCGGATGAAGTGCTTACTTGACAAAGTACATCCGGATGGTACTCGCAATTGCGCGGTAGGTAAAGGCATCGGTGATATCACTCCAGTAGTAGGGTAGCCGTCGCTTCACATCGTGATACATGCCCCTTCCAGGACGGAGCATCCGAAACTTTCGCCATCCTCTCTGGCCCTGGAACGTATAAGACTCTCTGGTAGCGATCTTCTCGAGCTTGAGACGAGATGAACTCGTGGGATGGTCCATTGTGCTAAGTCCTGTAAAGTATATGGATAGATGCAGGGGACTTGGGACTTGGAGTAGTGTCTGACGCGAAATTGGAGGAGTGGATTTGGAGTCATCCACTCGGAGTAGGGGGAAATGGAGTAGTCGATCTGGAGTCCTCCACTTGGACTAGGGGGAACCTGGAGTAGCCTGGTGATGGCCGACAGTAGTTCGGTATTGGGCTGGAACACACGGTAAAGTGCGTGCGACATGTACGCCCTAGTGGCCTCGCAGTAACGAGCGTATGAGATGCCTCAAGGAAAGCCGCAAATGCTGCCAGTAGTTGCGCGATCATATACAGAGATGCAACTTATATGTATGTCGTCTGCAGTGGCAAGCTTGCTAGATCTGCATGGGCCAATGGAAGGGTCCGTTTTAGCTCTGTTTAGCGTGAGCCGGGTCTTGGATGCCTTTTCGAGACAAGCCACTAACCGGTACTGCCACACTTGTGGCTTGATAGCATCACATGTGGGTAGCAACGTCTCTCTGCTCTACTCTACCACTGAACCACATGGATCTTCTTGCAAGGCTGTTCGATGGCCAACCACCCCGCTTCATCATCATGGCCGATGCCAATGGCCGACAACGTGGCAAAGATCTTGAAAAGGCTCTCATCTGAAGCTGTTAGCTACGGACGCTAAATTAGCGTCCGCGTTCTTTGTCGAATTTGTTGCCCGGGCAGAATCTTTCACAGAGAAACCCCCAACCCCCCTTGCGATATTGCGGACTGCAAACTCGTTACTCGGTGTGGTCCGCTCGGCACCCCGGGATCCATCGCCCGGCTGGATCATTCCGCAGTACCGGCACCTTCAGCTATATTCCCAGAGATTACTACAGGATACCGTAGCATCACGAGCTGTCCACTGTTCGTTCAGTGATGTGGTTGCGGTGTGCCCTAGTAAACCATATGACGCACTCTAACCAAGAACGATCGACCGAGCAACGGGCAAAGTACTCCGGCCCAAGACTCCCGGCCTCGTTCATAAGCGACATGTCAGAAGGGTTGCACCGATCTGCAACTTTCGTCTCTTTCAACAGTCCCTATACTTGATATTGCTAAATCACCAAATCTCAATCAGACGCTCCTGGGTCTGTCATTAGCCAACCTCAAGAACTCGGTCGGCTAAAACAACGGAATCGTACGACGTGCTGCAAACTAATTCCTTACCACGCTCTTCATGGGTCGATAGGATTCGCCATTTCGCAACGCCGATCGAGCAAGCGTTGGGGTAGCTCCGCCTTCCATCTTTGATCTTTGATGCTCAGGAACCAGATCATTGTGAAGCTTGACAGAGATTTGGGTGAATCGGCGTGACGCATCCCCGCGGGGTGGACGTTCACCATGCACGAATTGGGAGATGTAGAGGGACTCTCGGAGTGCATTGGCAGAGCCGTTCAAGAGCACCTCGCGCGGTCTAATATCAGTACTGCCTGGCCCCATATCGACGGACTCAGTCATCCTATATTGCGAATCGAAGCTTTTCTGGAGGAGGGTGATTCCAACAACACGGTTGGCAAATCTAGATCAGGCAGAGTTGCTTCGGTATGTACCAAAACGTACTATCTGCACTCTCATCGGCCCATGCATGCAGTAGCGGACTGGTGTGCCGCAAGACTCCCATACCATGGCAAACATTTATGGGAATCTATTGAAGCCGATGCTCCAGATGTTTAGAGGGCTGTTATGCTGACGCTAGTGCAGAGGACGCTTGATCTGGCAGACATGGTGACCCCTGCGCCTTCCAGAAGTTCAACGGTGAATCACCTCGACTACGACATGGATTCCCCGGGTACAGGAATACACTCACAAGAAAGCATGGACTCCGTGGATGAGTTTCCCGAAGGCAAATCTGCAGGATATGAAACTCGTCGCAGAAAAGGGACCGGTGGCCTGCGTATAACACAAAGTCAGTCGATTCGAGAAGACCCGAGCGAACATCAACGACAAATGCAGGTCAATAGTGGGAATCATCCCAAAAGAAAGAAAGCGGTCTCTGACAAGTTCGTATTCCAGCCATCTACCCTCGATAAACTTGTGATCGGTATCTGGGAGCAGGTCCACGGATCGATCGACTTAGATCCAAAGACACTCTTCGAACAAGTTCAGGTCGTACCCAGTGGAGGTGACTCTGGGATGATCCATGGCCCATCTGCCAATCGTATGGCTATGGAGACTTCTGGTACAGCAGCGAGCACGAGTAACCATTCCTTCAGTCAGACCAATGTGTTCTGCCGTAAAGTGACTCAGGCAAGTCGCGTCTGCCGCTCAGTCGAGATGATAGTCCAGGCGCGATGGACGGAGCTTTTCGAGGACCACGTTCATTACAGAAGTTCTCTGATGCCTGAGTTATCGACAACAAAGCATCGGAAAGCCGTGTTCATGGAAGCTTGCGAGGACTTTGGCTGGTCTGAGAAAGAGTTGCGAAACAAGATGGCAATTTGGCGGGGCTACAAAGAAGTTAAAGATGCAGCAGGGTGGGCAGCACTCGTCTTTGCAGGCATGGGCATATATCGCTTTTGCAAATATCGCGTAGGTTTCGACAAAGACGCAATGAGACGCTTACGCAATCTGCGAAATCGGTTGGAAGTTGCCGCAGATACACTTCATCCTCAGTGGCGTCAACTGCTAACAATCGTGGGCGAGTCTTCTACACTGCGATATCCAGGGCATCCACATGAATGGGTGGTATTTGAGGATGGATCTGAGCCGGCGCCACTGTCGCAAACGTACCAAATACAGGATCCCTATTTCAATTTTGAACACATCGAGGAATCCATAATAGACGGCCATGTTTGGGGATGTGAAGATCCGCGATGGACACCTCAGATAAGCTCAGTGGCAAAGGTCCCGGGAGGCTATGTCTGTGCTCTTTGTAAAGAGTCCCAGTCGGATGATCCAAAAGTCAACGCATGCTTCTGCTTCCCTTCACTATTCGGTAGTGTTCAACGCAAACCCCCGCCTGTGCAGGTGTATCGAACTCTAGAAGGCAAGAATAACGGAATTGTGGCGCTGACATCGTTTGAGCGGGGAAATGCCATTGGCGAACTCGTTGGCCTCATAACTAAAGGCGTTCGACATGTGGATGTCATGGATAGCTCGACGCCACTTGCGAATTACCAGATCTGGCAGGGTCAGGTTGGCAACTTCACCCGCTTTATCAACCATAGTTGCAAGGCCAATGCCCAAACAACGACGTTCACTTGGCTAGACACACAGCGTATAGTATTGGTCAGCAAAGGGATAGAAGCCGGATCCGAAATTACCCTTGATTATGGCGACAAGTACTGGGCCGGATTGGACAAGACGTGTCTGTGCGGAGAGTCGTGCTGTAGATACAGAAGGAATTCATGAGTGCCTTTCGTAAGCAAGAGAGCCACAACTAGCTGATGCGCGCATTACGGACGGGCTTCAGAGAGTTCATTGCATACGATATTGAGGCCGTCAAACGCATACCACCGTCGCACAGGGTCGTCATAACATAATGTAAAAATGTAAAAAAAGTCTCGGGAATTTCCCTGTAGCTACAGCGTGAGCCGGATTGATGCTGGAGACATGCATATTCGAGTACAAAATGACAGATTGAGAGAAGTTTAAGTATTGAGCACGGGGAAGGCCACTATCGTTATCGATAAGCCCTTAGCGTCCCAAGTCAATCCCCCCTTGCACAAATTTTGGAGACGTTCTCACCGACGAAAACTCGACGCGCCCACCAGACAATCGAACAAATCATAACAATGGCAAGCGACTATAGTATATCTGGCTCATCTGACGAGGATATCCTGGAGTCTCAAGCGGGTTCCAGGAAGAGGAGAAGACTATCGCCAACCAACGCTGAATCCGATCCTGCACCAGTTCAAACATCGACGATATCGAGGATCAAGACCAAGCAGCAAAACTCGACAACCCAGCCAGTAGTACAAGCCTCCACAACCACAGGAACAGCTTCTACAAAGGAAAAGCTTGACTTTGCTTCTCTTGATGTTGCACCATGGCTCGTCGCGTCCCTGGCGTCAATGGAGATCAAGAAGCCCACTGGCATCCAGCAAGCATGTATTCCAGAGATTCTGAAGGGCAGGGACTGCATTGGTGGCTCCCGTACTGGTACAGGTAAGACCGTGGCATTTTCTGTGCCTATTCTCCAGAAATGGGCGGAGGATCCTAGTGGCATCTTTGGCCTCATCATCACGTGAGTACACTCCCTAGATTGTTCGCTGATATACCATTAACGATGCTCAGACCAACACGCGAACTTGCTATCCAAATTTATGAGCAGGTCAAGGCGATCTCAGCACCACAATCAATGAAACCTATTCTAGTGACAGGTGGCTCGGACCAGCGTGAGCAAGCTATTGCGCTTGCGTCCCGTCCTCACATTGTGATTGCAACGCCCGGTCGCTTGGCAGAGCACATTCGCACCTCGGGAGAAGACACAATCTGTGGCCTTCGGCGTGTCCGCTTTGTAGTCTTCGACGAAGCGGATCGCCTTCTCGCACCGGGAAAAGGGAGCATGCTACCTGATCTCGAAACCTGCCTATCCGTCCTCCCACCCAAGGAGAAACGACAAACGCTCCTCTTCACCGCAACAGTGACACAAGAAGTGCTCGCGCTAAAAGACCAACCCCGTCCAGGGCGCCTCCCCATCTTCATCAGCGAAGTCGACACCGAGACCTTGGCTATCCCACCAAAACTACAACAAAAGTATCTCCAGACACCCGTCACCCACAAAGAATGCTATCTCCACGTCCTCCTCAATACGCCCGAAAACCTCAAAAAGTCCGTCATCATCTTCTGCAACCGCACCAAGACGGCTACACTCCTGGAATACATGCTCCGCCTCCTCGAACACCGCGTCACGGCCCTCCACTCCGGTCTCAAGCAATCAGATCGTGTGGGCAATCTTGCGCGATTCCGTGCCCAAGCCGCCAGGATCCTTGTGGCTACTGATGTGGCAGCCCGTGGTCTGGATATCCCAGAAGTCGGACTGGTCATCAACTACGACGTCCCCCGTGATCCTGACGATTACATTCACCGCGTTGGTCGAACGGCTCGTGCCGGCCGCGTGGGTACTAGTATCACGTTGGTTGGACAACGAGATGTTGAATTGATCTTGGCGATTGAGACGAGAGTGGGGAAGAAGATGGAGGAGTTTGAAGAAGAGGGTGTTAGTGTCGAGGGCAGAGTGGTTAGAGATGCGTTGAGGCCTGTGACGGAGAAGAAACGAGAGGCTATGTTGAGCATTGAAGAAGGAAGGGATGTCATGGGTAAACGCAAGGTTGGTATGCAGAGAAGAAGGGCGGACTAGAAGAGTATTGTATACATATACATAAACATGCAGATGATTATATTTTAATTCGCTAAATCGCAGCACAAGAATGCCAAATAAAAAATGTTTCAACGTCTCCAGGAATATAACAACTCATTCCTCTAAGCCCTCCGTGGCCTGAACCGAGTGTTAAAATTTCTCTGCCCGACAAACCACGCGTTATGAGTTTGCCACTCTGCGCCAGGATGCTCCAGCTCAATCTGATGACAATTAGCTTAACCACTCTCTCATACTTCGCCTCATGACATGGAAAAAACATACCTCGAATCTCCTCAAAAAGCTCGGAACAAGCTTATACAGTTCCAACAAGCTAACATTCTTGCCAATGCATGTCCTAGCGCCCGCACCAAACTGCAGCATTGTACCCTTCATTTCCTTGAGATTTTCCGGCGAGGCGTCGATCCAGCGCTCAGGACGGAACGTGTCAACGTCTACGCCAAAGACTTCGGGGCGGCGATGCAGAACCCATGCATTGCATCCGACGATTGTGCCGCCGGGGATGAATTCATCACAGATCTGCATGCCTTGCGGAGGAACTACGCGTTCGAGAATAAGGCCGGGAGCGGGGTGAATACGGAACGATTCCTGGATGACTGCGTCCAGATAAGAAAGTTTTTGAGCCTCGGGCCATGAGACGGTCTTGTCGGCGCGATCTTCAATGGCGCCTTCGGCGACGGCAGTGTCGAGTTCTTGCATGAGTTTTTGGTAGACGCGAGGGTGCTTGAGAAGCATGTAGAAGACGGTAGAGAGCGAGATAGCAGTTGTTTCTGAGCCGGCGAAAACCATGGATGCGCACGTGGAAAGAATGCGATTGTCGTCCATGAACTCATGGTCATGGCTGGCTTGTGCAAACTTCGAGAGGAGGTCGATACCACGGGGGTTCGCCTTCTCGTCGTCTGAAAGACCGAATCGCTTGATCTTTTCAACTTGCTGGGCTCGCTCCTTGGATCGTGTGATCACGAACTGGGTGACAGGATGCATGCGCTTGTCGAGACCAATGCGCTGGGCGAGGAGAAGGATGGGGTTTTTCCATAAGAATGTATCTAGGATGGGCATTTGGCCAATTGGTGCAACATAGTCAAGGAACTGTTCCAAGAATTTGACGATGTTGTCGACATCACCATTGTTTTGGACGAACCCTAGACGTTTGCTCCAGGTCAATTCTCCTACGACATCAAAAGCAAAAAACTGTAACCACTGGCTGAAGTTGCAGCTTTTGCCCGTCGAGGCATACAACTCTTCCGTTCTATCCAGCCAATAGGTTAGAGTCGAGGTCACGAGTGGCTCGTAGTTGACGAGCGAGCTCATAGCGAAAGCATTGTTGACACATCGACGGTATTTTGCGTGGAAGTCCTCATCAGTGGTGGAGAAAAGTGAGAGTAGAAGCCGACCTTTCGCAATAGCGCCTTGCACGGGGTAGAAGTCGGACTTGAAAAAGTCAGCCATTGTGATAAGATGCTTGCTCGTACCAACGCACCTTAACAACGCCCTTGTTTAATCCATAGATCTGCTTGATCGCTTTAGGGTCTGCAAAAGAAAGCACATTCGGCCCTAACCGCACGATGTCTCCGTGTTTGCGATGAAGAGCTATCGTGGTCCATTGATGGTTCCTCTTCTTGACATCCCATACTCGCCACCAGTTACTCCATCCAGCCAACGGGTGCCCTGGGTACTTGTTCAGACCTTTCCAGTACTGATTGTTCAGCAGGTATGCTGCTGTGAGGGAGGCGAGAATCAAAGGCCAATACTGCACAAGTAATGGAAGGATCTCGTTGGTGAGCATGATGCCTGACTTCAATCAAAATTCACGATCCGGTGTCCAGGTATTTTATGAGACAAGCACTACATTTTCTGTCTGGGGCGTATGCAACTATATAAATGAGTGCTGCGATAGGGCTATGTGTGCAAGCCCTCCCGGTGACAGCGTCACTGGAGACTCGGTCTGGCTTCGATTTCGGCAGCACATTGCATCGTGTCAGATATCAAGTGTGTCGGCAGTTCGCATTTGAGGCTTAACATGACTCGAGGTGGGTCGGTGGCTTTTCTTAGGGTCTTGACCTAAGGCTTGGGCTCATCGCGGGGAGCAAATTCCGGGGTGTACCGCGGGTTAGCACGTTGTTGACATGGGCATTGTGAACATCGCGCACCAGGGCATATTTGTGTCTCACGTCTTGGTCGTCCAGATGCAGCCAATCTATCGCCTTTGTCTTCATTGGTCAAGCTGAAAGTAATCATGACCGCATGGATCAAAACTGTCGCATACTTACTCACGTTGTGCCCGTAGCCAACAGGTACAACTTCAGTATTCCACGGCGTATACTATTTTGAACTGCCGACTGTCGACTGTCGTGAGCATTAGAGCTGAGGCCTTGCGCGAGGCGATAACGAGAGTCTTGTGGGCTCTGAGAAGGTCGGCAGTTGTGTTTTCACGTCAGCATTGCAACTGCCGATGTATTGAGTGTCGTTTGAAATCGGGGCCGACGGCTGGAAAAACACCGACTGGGTCACGTGCTTCATACCAAGAGCGCATGGTTGCTTCCACAACAAGGTTGAGGAGATTGAGAATGCTCAATGTGACCCACTTGGGAGTTGCCCTTCAATCTATCGGTGGGAATACGTCATTGAACACTTGCTATACAAAGTATAATATACTCACTTACTATGTATGGACTGTTTCAGTGCTGCTGCGCTGACCACGGCCAACCTCCCTGACGCTGCGCCACAGAGAGTACTGTGCCAACCATTCCCACACAGAACCTTCTGGCGAAGAAATCCCCTGAGAGTTGTACCGTATTTTGATAATGCCAATCTACAATACCAAGAACTTTCAGAGTTGGCATCTTACTTTGGTTCATGGTTCTTGTAGTGAGCCAATATCTCAAATAAAATAAAATCAACCCGAGAATGCCTACACACTGCCACAGCTGGGTGTGATCAATCAGGGGTAATTTCAGCTCGACTATGAACCTCACATTGGAGCAGTTCGCCTGGATCGTCTAGTATCAAATCTGTCCCTACACCACTGTCCACAGACCCTGCAAGAGGAATGTAGTAGCCTACCAATTGCTCGATATCGCATGCAACATGTTAGGACGGATTACCATCTGATGCTTTCGCTCGTCTACTTGTCGCTACTTGATGTATGCATCGTCCTTCAACAAGAGCTGACTGGACATATTTTAGTGAAACCGATATGCAGTTCTGGGGTTGTGGACCGAAAGCATGACTTCCCGCTCTGGTTTTAGCAAGTATATCTAACAAGGTAGATCAATCTCAAGGGTCAGCAATAGTACCGATGCAACTTGTGTCACGAAATGAAAGCTGGTAGATTACCAAATAGCAAGTACAAATCAACTCTAACCGAAAGATGGCTGGGAGTGGTCGTTCTCTATCCAGGCAAACCGCCTGACATATCATTGTTCACTGCAACGCCATGCTGATGCTGCGATATCATGTCGTAATATAATACAAGATTCTTGGTATACAGTTCCTCCTCTTCTCGTCTATTTTACTTCCTTTTCCAACAGTTCTTTTGCTTCGTTCACCTTGGTCGCAAGGTACGGGCTGCCGCCTCGATCAGGATGGTTCAGAAGCATGAGTGACCGATGCTTCTTTCGCAGAAGTTCTTTGGTGATGCCCCGCTCGCTATACGTCATTAGTCATTGTGATGTCGAATTCCGTGTTTGTTCTCAACGGGGAACGACATACGGCATTTCCAATATGAGAGCAGCTTCTCTCCGTGTCATCTTGGGCTCAAAACCACCCTTGTAGTAACTTCGTCCGAGTGCTCCAGCGCCACCGCCTGATCGTCGTAGTGCGACAAGTGCTGCACGACCCTATCAGATGATGGTTAGCATACATTCGTTGAACTGCTATACAATCATCCCAACATCGAATCCAGCTACTACTCAAAATCCTGCAAACCATGAAGCAGGGAGAGTCATACGAAGAAAGCCGCTGCACCCGCACCAGCGATCCACACCCAAGCGGACATTTTCTGTTTCTCTTGAGGCTGCTGCTGTTGCTGCTGCTGCGGCACAGGATATGAGGTTGTAGGAGGAGGTTGTGCCGCTGGAACTGGTATCGACATGTGTCTACGATGAAGTATAACCCGAGTGAGTGAATGGCACCGTCGTCGTGCAGCGCAGCCTCGGGAGGGAAAAATAAAGGCTACCGCGGTCGCGGGATTAGATAGACCGTAAGCCCACAAGTGG